AAAAAAACAGAAAGGTAGAGTCTTCACAGCGAGAAATCATGTACACAAACAGTTTTATCTCAGCCTACCTGAGCTGTTGCAATGTTTAGGTAATTGTCAACTTGTTAGGAATAACATCAAATGCTCGCAGGTTGAGGGCGTTAGGTCAGTTTGGTGTAACCTTTACATTTGTCACACATGTTGTTCACTTTAAGTCATTTCCTATCAGTAGAAGAAAAAAGAAGAAAGTAGAAAAATGTGTTTCCAAAAGGTTGTTTTTTCTGGCAAGTCTTGCTCTACTTGTGCAAAACAGTCTCTAATGAATGCTGCTATTGATGCAAGCTGTGACGTTAAACCTCAAACGCCTACACAGGGGGAAACATGAAAGGTACACACATGAGACAGGACTTGAATTACATTTCCTGTTTGATGCAGAGAGGTTTGAAAACCTTGGCTGCATGACGCTAGCTTGAACATGAGAGTTGTGTACCTCTCGCGGGGCTCCGGGCTGGATGTAGGTGCTGCAGATCTCCTTGGCCCTCCTCTGCAGGCTGAAGTTGTTGGACGAGTGTTTGTACTGCTCACAGGCCAGATAAAACTGCAGGTTCTCCTCGCTGAACTCAGAGCGCAGGAATGCTCCAAACACTGAGACCCCACCTGAGAGGAGGAGGAGGGACACATGCAAACGTCACTTTAAGCATGTCACAAGCAGACGCCCACACACAGAACACTGACGCAACAATCTTGCAGGCCTTGTAAGCACAACGCAAACACACACAAGTGTTGCCAGCCGTGAAGTTTCTCAGGTTTGTTTCAAAAAGTTGGCACGCACCGTTCATTTCTATTTGTCTCGTCTCAGGCTGCCTAGGCTTTGATTCATGGCTGGTTATTAATCTGAGGTTTCAAACATGACTTTGTACAGAGGACAGTTTCAAAGTGCTGACACCACATTTTGGTATGCCACAGCTCACACACTTCAGCTGCAGAGAACAGCACTCTAAATTAGCATGGCACTGATAAGGAGGCACACAGAGGGCCGGGAGGACCCATCAGGCAGGCTCTGTGTGCAGTTAAAGGCAAATAGTCAGCAGAACATTACTGAAGCATAAGTTCATCGATGCTGAAATAAAAGACATGGTCTGAGAGATGAGAGGAGGTGTTAACGTTAAAGGGGCCCTGTTATGCTCATTATCGGGTTCATATCAGTATGTTTTCCCTCTACTGGGACATGCTTTAATGTTCAAAAAGCTCTTTATTGTTCTCATACTGCCTGTGCTGCAGCACCTCTTTTCACCCTCTGTCTGAAACCAGGGCCCAGTCTGCTCTGATTGGCTAGCTGGCTGGCTCTGTTGTGATTGAGGGAACACAGAGATATTGCAGACCATTTACATGCATGCACAAAACCCTATATGACACACTGCAGGAAAGAAACCCCAAAAAGCCGAAGAGAAGACAAACAAAATGTACGCACATCATTGATACTAGGCTTTTTTACTGGAAAAGCATTAACATAAAGGACACAGACAGAAATTGTTCACAAACCATCCATTAGCCTAATCCTTCAGTTAATACACTGGTGCAGGGATGAAGTTATTTAGTAGGCAAAAAGAAGTTAGCAACGCAAGGGCTCCATCATTAAAAAACAATGGTATTTTGGATATCAGTATATTGCAGAAAATAAGAGGTTAATCACCCCAAATTAACACCGCTTCTTTATATTTGAAGCGTAAATGCAAATGCCAGACGTAAAAATCTAACTAGGCTAAAAAGAAAACTACACACGGTCATAAGACTGCCCATCACCACTGCTGAGGTAAAGGCGGCTAATGTTCGGTGTGATGACGTACAGATGTCTCATTTTGCCACCTGTTAGCAACTGCCGTTTTAGAGACACAAAGAAACTTCAGACTTTCACCAGTGAGGTATTTACTGACGTACTGTATGACGTAGAACAAAAAGGTTAAAATCTCTTCATCTTGTGATCTTATTTCAGGTATCTAACCGCACTACCCTCAGCTAAAGTTATCTACAGAGCAGATACATACATGGAAAGTATTTAAAATATCCTGTGGAGCTATCTGTATTATCAGAGTGTTCAATCAGGACTCGCCCTGGTGTTGTTCAACCCGGTGACGTGAGTGTGTCATCAGACACATATAGAGTACTGGAACACACCACAAACAACACTATCAGGACATAGAGCAGTGATTCAGAAATGTACCCGTGTAGCAGGCATAACAAATGTTGCAACCACTATCCCTGTTTACGTCAGACCAAACTCAAACATCCTGTAGCTGCAGGGACATTTAGGAACTATAACAGGAGTGATTTATAACGCTGTTAACTAACTGTTCTATTAATAGGCAGCAGGGTCCAGGTAAGTGCTGTTCTTTAAGCTTTATTGCACAGCACACAGTAACCAGTGACGTCAGCTCAGATGTCGACAACCTGCAGCAGCCTGGGATTTCAGACACAGCAGGGGAACTTGAGACAGAGTTTCAGTTGCACCAACATGTCTTTAAAGCAGAAGTTGACCATCAGTCCAAATAACAGGGTGTAGGTGTTCTGGTCAGAAGCTCAAAAAAAGTTTAGAAGAAGAGCTATCATCTAACATCAGAAAAAAGGGAACCCTATGGATCCACAGACCCCCTCCCCCTCCCCCAGGAACGCCCTCCCTGCTTATTCTTTGGCTGGACCTTTGGCAAAGGCCAGGGGCCTCATTTATAAAGCCTTGCGTAGGATTCACTTGGGAAGGTTGCTTACGTAAGACAAAGCAAATAAATACGCACAGACATTTTCCGATTCATAAAAGACTGTGTACCGGCTTAGGACTTGCGTGCGACACGTCCGACGCCTGTTTCCCTTTATAAACCACAATCAACTCGAAATGCGGCGCAGCTTTTGCGGGCTTCACGTAACGCCCATATTTGCCTATAAATAGTCAAAGAAACGCCCCGTATTAATATTCATTCTGACTCACTGCATGAAGAAGATCACAGGAAATGAGGACAGAACAGCTAAAAAACACATCTCACACCGTGTCAGATTCTGGTTCTTTTGGGGAGGTCGAGATAAATCATATTGTTTGGTGGATGCAGTTTGAACCAGAGTAGCAGCATGGAGGTCGGATCGTCACCAAAATAAATAAATAAGTGGTCCAAAAAATATAATGACAAAAAAAATACACATAACCTTCCTCAGGCAGTGTGTGTTTCTTAATCTCGAGTAAAGCTGCTCCAGAGCCACTATTTCAAGCATACTACGTCATCGAGTGCCGCCGAAGTACTGTTCCAATGTCCAGCATACTTGGAATTCTAGCGAGCCCGGCGTACTTCGTTTGGAGAAATGTCGCACATGTGTAGACTCTGCGGTCTTCAAATCCCCACAATGCTTTGCGCACGGACCAATTTCCCAAATCTGTGGCGGAAAATGTAAGGCGGGGCCTCTCATGTGACGGACCTGCACACTTGCTAGCCTGTTCCACTCTTCGTTTTCCGAAAGCCAGAAAGGATTCTCGCCTCGCTTCTAAAGCAAGACGCTCGGAAGACATGTGCTACCAAGCAAGCATACTCGAGATTGAGAAACACCCAGGTAGAAACTGTAAGAAAGTATCGGGGGATCCCTGCGGAGTCAATTCATGTTTATTTTTTTATTTGGTGGTTTATGTTCCAGCGGTCGATCAGCTGTGCGCCCCCCCCACAGGCGTCTCCACTGCAGCTGTGATCTCAAACCCCCCCCCGGCAGCAACTCTATCCCACCACTTAAAAGGGAAATAAATAATGTGTTGAGTTATATCAGCTGCCAATCTACCACACAATATTATGGTGTTCTTAGTTTCCATACCTCCTGTGTTTTATGATCGAATTATCAAGTCTAAGGCAAACGGCATAAAAAAAACATTGATTAAACGTGATAGTATATAAAACCATGCTCGTATCTACAACCTTATAGAAATGCAAAACGGCGTCAGTTTATGAGAAAACATTTCATAACATCAACACAACATATTTGAGGTGGTTTTAATAACATATCCGTATATATTTATTTCTCCAAGTTATGTTTTTGTGTCTCAAACAGGCCGTTTGTTAAATCATTTGAAGATTGGCTTTAATCAGATGTTTGAAAATGAATTCTTCATAATATATGATAAATGAGGAGGTAACATTTTTATTTATGGTATTATTTCCACATATTTCTCTCCATTCTTCCTTCTGCTAACGGTGTCGCAGTTTCTCGTCTCTCCCGTTGTTGTGCTTAGTGCGTACACATGAGTTTGCGTGGAGGACCGCACATTTTCCCATCACATTTGTTTTTTATAAATCGCAAACATTGCTTAGAAACTGGTGTAGGCCTACGCCATCTTTTGAGCGTACGCACCGTTTATAAATGAGGCCCCTGGGCTGCCCTTTAGACATAAAATACTCTGTAATTATTGTGCTGATCCACTTTCTCAATACATTCAAGAATCATTAAGCAGCACAGGGTCGCACAAGGAAATACAGCAGCTCATCTGCTAGAGAAACATCTCTTCCTTGTCTTTCATGGAGCTCAATCCTCCCTTGATGGTGATTGGTCCATATCGCTCTCATAGGCTCCAATAATCAAGATGAAAATGTACAATTTAAAAGACTTCCTATTGTGCTTTTGGGAGTTTCCCTTTTCTCTATTGTGACATATAGGTTTCAAAACCCAAAGCCCCTCCAAAGGGAGCTTCTCTCCCACACAATTACAGCCTCCCATTTCTCTAGTTTCATCAATCAATGAGTGATGTTCTGAATACAACTCTAGTCTCAGAGTAAAGCAGGACTCACTTTGGCTGAGCAGCAGGGTGTTCAGAGACTCCGCCCATTTCTCCACCTCCTCTCGACTGAACTTCCTCTTCTTACTGTGGCCCACCTGGCTCCACTGACGCATGAAGAGGAGGCGGGACCTCCGCTCTGTCACACTGGGGATCACATCATTATAAATACTGACGCAGGAACAAATGGATTTCATTTTGAAGACATCCAATATGTGTCTGAGGACAGCATTTAAACGTCTTGAGTGTTCTGAGGAAATTCTGCCAGTTTAATGCAGTGTTATTGTATGTGGATATCCATCTAAATTAGCAATATTCAAAATGAAGTTGAATGAAAATAAAGAGTATGCTGACCTGTCTTTCTGCTCTGTGTTGGACAGGTTTGGGTTTGAAGAATGAGGACTCTGAAACAGAAAAGACAACGTTAACTGGAAATCTTCCCTGTGTTCAACTCACTGAAACCCCAATAGAATGGTGCATGAATTAGTCCTGAAATCCAGAATGAGTTAGCATTTTAGACATTCCAATTTCCTTGTCTCAAAGTCAATGTTTTTTTAAACTTTGTTAACGATTTTGGTTAGATGCCTGAAATGAGGTATGTGGTTAACAGAAGCTTTGGGGTTTTCCCCTCTCCTGTAGTGTGTTATCTAGGTGTGTGTGCATGGTCTGCAAAGGCTAGAGAGTTTCTCTCACATCAAAGCATTTCACAGTCGAGACACAAAATACTAATATGAAGCTGAAAATAAGCAGAATAGGGACCCTTTAAAGCTTAACGTCAGTGTTTCATTTTATGCTTAAACTATTTTAAAACAGGCATAAATATGTGGAGAGTGCCCTAAACAAAACGTGTAAGAATCACACATGTGTTTGCCACATTTCTTTTTTCTACAAACTAACTAACTAACTGAGCTAAAGTACTGATAGATAATAGCCTGTAAACATGTAGGATAAGACAAGCAGGATATGGTAATCTACTATATGATTCGGTTTGTTTATCATCTTGTGAGCAAATGATCATAGTGTACTTTTCTTTTAACTATTCAAAATGCAACTCAAGATGCACTCAAGGGCTTTTTCCCATTCTTTCAATTCATTCACATGGTGAGTCCCAATAGTAATGGGGATCGATCCGTTGACAGCTAGAATGAGATTGATTCTAGATCCAGATTCTAAACTGTAATGTGTGTTGCTCTCCAGACTGAAAGAGCCCCACCTGTCCGAACAGACTCCGGAGGTGCAGCTTGGCGGAGGAAAGCTTGTGTTTTTGGTTGTGCCTGTGATGGGCTTTGAAGGAGAAGGGGTTGCTGGAGGAGGGGGAGCCAGAGGGCATGTCGTCCCTCTCCATGCTCTCCGTGCTGCCCTGGGCTTGGGGGGCCAGCTGGCCGTCGCTGTAGGCCCTGCAGCCCTCCCCCAAGAGGCCCACACTCAGGTGGTTCTTGTCCTGCTTCCCCAGCTCAGTCAGGGTCTCCACGCTGACGCTGTGCTGCTTGGTCAGCTCATTCGCCCCCCCCTCATCGTTACCCCCTTTAGGCTCCAGGATGGTGGGGGTCAGGAGGGTGGAGCCCCCGCTCAGATCGTCCTCCCCTGTGTGAGGGGTGTAGGTGCCAGAGTCCCGGTTCCTCTGAACATCCTGGTTATTCAGGGCCACCCTCCTCCAGGGGAGGAAGTCCAGATCCAGGAGGTTCCCCTCGGAGCTGAACCTGCGCATGGTGGCTGTGCAAGAAAAGGATTGGCCAGATATGAGTTTTAGAAGAGCTGCAGTGAAGCAACGTGAGTTAATAAAGCAGGGTGTGTCTGTTCACTAAATGGCAGCTCACCTTGGATTCAATTTTCCTTTAAATTCTGAATTGACATTCTCACACAAATGGAAAATTAATAAAAATACAGTTTAAAATAAATAATAATAAATTACTGTAATGCATGAGAGACCGACAAATATTTTAATATCACCATTGGCTTTGTCGGTTAGAATGTTTTGCATTTACTTACTACATGCTTGATGTAATGTTAAAGTTCATGAAGATGTCTTATAGCATGACTTAAGGTCGCATTCACACGTACAGGTAATAGTCCGCTTCTCTGGTGCGCTCCAGACGACAGTTTGTTACATTGTTTCATTTTTCAGAAGGTTCGGTTTGCGTGCACACGGGTAAGGGTGCATTCACACCTAATAGTCCGCTCTCTGGTGCGCACCAGACCACAGTTTCTTACATTGTTTCATTTTTCAGAAGGTTCGGTTTGCGTTCACACGGGCAAAACTCAAACGGACTATAAACTTTAAACACAAGTCATGTGCTTGGAAATGCTGTTCAACCATTGGTCAGACATTAAGGGGGTGAAAACGCAAATCCCGGCAATTTCTAGCGGAGCCTCCGCCATGGAGCATCGGCACTTTCGGC